GGGGATGTTTGGGGGCATTTGAGGGGGTTCAGGGGGGCCCTGAGGGGGTTTTGGGGGGCTAGTGGGGGCTGGGGTTGTTTCGGGAGTGTTTCAGGGGTATTTAGGGGGTCCCTCAGGGGTATTTAGGGGATGGTTGGGATATTTTAGGGATTGTTTCAGGGTTATTTCGGGAGTCTCTCAGGGATATTTCGGGGCTCTCTCAGGGATATTTTGGGGTACGTTTGGGATATTTCGGGGGCTCTCTCAGGGATATTTTGGGGTACGTTTGGGATATTTCGGGGGCTCTCTCAGGGACATTTTGGGGTATGTTTGGGATATTTCGGGGCTCTCTCAGGGATATTTTGGGGTATGTTTGGGATATTTTGGGGGCACCCTCCGGTACATTTTAGGGTACGTTTGGGATACTCTGGGGGCTCTCTCAGGGATATCTTAGGGGATCTCTCAGGGGTTTTTTAGGGTACATTTGGGATATTTCGGGGCTCTCTCAGGGATATTTTGGGGTATGTTTGGGATATTTCGGGGCTCTCTCAGGGATATTTTGGGGTACGTTTGGGATATTTCGGGGGCACCCTCCAGTACATTTTAGGGTACATTTGGGATATTTTGGGGGCGCTCACCGATGACGGAGCTGGGGCTGCGGCCGGCCCTGCCGAAGGCGCAGACCCCGGGCGCCTCGGCCGGGATGGCGAAGCTGGCCAGGGACCACTGGGACTCCACGTAGGGGCCCAGCACCGGCCCCACCTTCCCCACCCGCGCCAGCCTGGGGGCACAGGGGGCACAGGGGGGTTCAGGGGGGTTCAGGGGGGCTCGGGGGTCCCGGGGCATTTCGGGGACCCCCCGCCCCCCACTCACGCCGAGCGCCGGTTGAGCCGCGTGTCCCGCAGGGCGAAGACGTGGCCGGTGCCTTTGTCGCTGGCCGCGCACAGGAAGGAGCAGTCGGGGCTGAAGGCCAGGCTGGGGGCACCCCAAAAACCCCGTCAGAGCTGGGGGCACCCCAAAACCTCCCAAAGAACCCCGTCAGGGCTGGGGGCACCCCAAAAACCCCGTCAGGGCTGGGGGCACCCCAAAAACCCCGTCAGAGCTGGGGGCACCCCAAAACCTCCCAAAGAACCCATCAGGGCTGGGGGCACCCCAAAACCTCCCAAAGAACCCTGTCAGGGCTGGGGGCACCCCAAAAACCCCGTCAGGGGTGGGGGAGCCCCAAAGCCTGGTCAGGAATGGGGGGAACCCCAAAATTTCCCAAAGAACCCATCAGGGCTGGGGGCACCCCAAAAGCAGGTCAGGACTCCCCCAGTGCTCAAATCCGCCTCCAGTTCCCCCAGTGCTCCCCAGTCCCAGTTCTCCAGTCCCAGTCCCAGTTCCCCAGTCCCAGTTCCCAGTCCCAGTTTCCAGTCCCAGTCCCCCCAGTTTCCAGTCCCAGTTCCCAGTCCCACTTCCCCAGTCCCAGTCCCGGTCCCCCCAGTTCCCAGTCCCAGTCCCACCAGTCCCCAATCCCAGTTCCCACTCCCAGTCCCCAGTCCCCACTCCCAGTTCCCAGTCCCAGTCCCACTCCCAGTCCCAGTTCCCAGTCCCAGTCCCAGTCCCACCAGTAGAGCGTGGCGGGGTTGGTCCCAGTCCCAGTTCCCCACTCCCAGTCCCAGTTTCCCAGTCCCAGCCCCAGTTCCCACTCCCAGTCCCAGTTCCCAGTCCCAACCCCAGTCCCAGCCCCATTCCCAGTCCCAGTCCCAGCCCCAGTTCCCAG